ACCTGTCTTGTCCCCCGTGCCCCTCACTCCTGACCCATCCCCCGGGCTCTGCCAGTGCCCTGCACACCCAACCCATACTCACCTGTCTTGTCCCCCGTGCCCCTCACTCCTGACCCATAGCCCGTCCCCCCCAGCACTGCCAGTGTCCTGCACCCTGGACCCACAGCCCCTTCTCCCCCAGCCCTGCTGGTGCCCCTCACTTCTGACCCGTAGACCCCTCCCCCTCAGCCCTGCTGCCCAAGCAGCTCCCGCATTACGCGTGTGCCTTCTCTCTCTCTCTCTCTGGCTTGCAAGAGCCCATGCAGGGAGCATGTGAACCCCGATAGCCAATCACCTTGCCTGCTTCTCTCAACCCCAAGCAGCCAGACCAGGAGAGCAGAAAACCTGGACATTTGCTCTTATTTTAAAAACCCACCTGGGTGCAACACAGGGGTCCAAAAAAGAGAACATGTCTGGGAAAACCAAGACAAATGGTAACCCTAGGCAGGGAGAGGCAGAGACTGCACCCCCTCCCCCCCCGCAAGGCAAACCTCAGCTGGGGTCTGGGGCAGGGAGAGGGGTTAAACCCACCTTGCCCAGAGTACAGAGCTGCCCTGCAGCTAAACTTCTTAAAACTTACTGCTGGCTGTGACTGTGGACTACAAATCCCAGAGGCACCTGGTAGCAGGAAGAGGGAGTGATGAGTAACCCTGCAGAATCCTGCTGCTGTGATTCTGGACTGCAAATCCCAGACACCTTTGAGGCAGCAGGAAGAGGAAGCAAACACACAGCCCATGCTGGCTATGTGCCAGAGAGGCGTGTTCTAGTGCCCCTCAGCTTCTGGTCTGAGCCACTGCAGGCATGTGGTTGAATTTCCTGAATCAAAAGTAAATGTGTGTCCAGTTGTTTCTCAGTTTAATCTCTGCAATTTAGACAAACCTGCAAAGACTGAATTGGTTCAGCCTCAGGCTTTTTGACTGTCTGTACTTAGCCCAAGTGATTGTGACAATCCAGGGCCAGCAAAGTGCTTTGCTTTACAACCTGTTTACATAACTGCAGGCCTAACCCAACTCCCATAAGAGTCAGTGGCGAGATTCCACCCACTCGCTTGCAGTCTGTTCCCCACCTGCACAGAAGAGGTGGAAAATATGTATGTGCTTCCTATTTTGGTAGAGCAGCATGATCAAATGCTCTGTGTTTCCACCTCCTCTGCATTCAGGAGAAGATTCCCAGAGTGAAGACAAGTAAGCCATGAATAAAAGCTAAGCAGGAAGTAGATCGAGTTTTATTACAGATGAGTTGGTGTGGATTCCTGGCAACTCCTCTGATATGGAGAGAATCACAGCAGGTTTGCACCCGTGCAACTGAAATCAGCCACTAGCCCTTGCATGGAAGGATTGGCCTTTCTGTGGAATTATTATTATTTATTTATGTAGGGTCTGCTTTTATTAAAGCACTACAGTTTTTTCAGGTGCAGTTGTGGTTGTTGATAATACATGCACCTAAGAGTCCTGTTCCATTGTGCTCTGTGCTGTACAAAGACACAACTGAAATATGCTCCCTGCCCTAAAAGGTTGCAAGTCGGAGCAGATAGATGCAGACAGAAAGGAGTCATACATTTCTTCTGGTGCTTATTAGACCCTTTTGATCTCCAAACACCTGATGTGTAGCTAAAATCAAGGAGTCAAATGGCTGCCCTGACCAGTTTAACCCAAGAGGGTTTGATTTTAAAAATCAGGTCCACAGCTAATGAATTAATTAAGGCCACTTTTGCAACAGCTGGCTGTTTGTCCTGTCCTTATTGCAACAAACATAAATGAACAGCACCCCCTAATGTCATTCACACTGCGTTTGTACCAGAGATGAACCAATCCACATTGCATAGTAAGCAGTGACAATGGACAAATGACATGAAGATTGTCTTCCTCATAAAAATGAGTCATAAAGTATTTCAGCAGATGACAATGCAAAGATAAAGGTATCCACAGAACTGTTAAGAACATGTAAAGTCCTGCTGGAAATAGCCAAGATGCATGGAATCCCATTTAAGTGATCAACTCTTCTGGGTAGAGATCTGTTGTCTTATATTCTTGCCCAGTACTAGCCAGGAAACAGTGCTTTGGTATCCAGACATCACCAGCAGGCTAACAATAATATTTATTGGTAAGTGGACCTGGGAGAACTGGGGTATAGAGACCTAAGTATTGCATCAGTATCAAAGGATACGACACTAACTGTTATGACTTAGCTGTTCCAGTTGCATCCTCCTGTAAAAATACAGACATTGGCCATGTGTAGGAACTGCACGCAGGTGCACATGCACCCCCTGAGCGTGCCGGTGCCCTCTGGAAAAAGGCACCACCAACACTGCCAGTGGCACTCGTGGGTGGTCGCCGCTCACTATCCCCCTACCCCCCTTGCTGCCAACACCTCCAGCAGCATCTGCAGGAGGTCCATGATCGCCCCTGGCCACCCCCGCCACTGCCAGCGGTGTTTGCGGGTGGTCGCCGACCACTGATCGGCGCTCCCCGACGACAATGTCACACCTGCCTGTGGGAGCTCCCCACTTACTGCCACCATGCTCCTGCTGTCAACGGCACTGCTACCTGCGGGAGCTTGCCGTGCCCCCCCCAGCCGCTGGGGGCATGCGGCGTTCATGAATACAGATGTCGTAAGACTGTTGTAACTTTAAACCTGTCGCATTCAGGTTCAACAGCAATCTAGTTCACTTGTATCATGCCAGGGTCTGGCAGCTGTAACAGCTACACCAGTGGGATCCAACCATTTGGCCCGATGCATGCAATGGGGCCAGTCTGCAGGCTGGATACATGATGGGGTCAACACACAGGGTAGGCCCATGCGCCTGGATTGGGTACCGTGCTGCCCTGGCCTGGCCCCATGTGTTGCAGTTCCCTAGCCTGGCCCCATGTCCTAAGATCTGGCCCTGTCCCACCCCAACCCTGCATATACCCAATTTAGCGCACAGGGCCACGCTATCCAGTCTGCCATGTTCCCTACAGGCTGCAGAGGAGCGGCAATTAACACTGCCACCACTCCCCTGGCTGATCCGTGAGAAGCCCAGAGGGCCAGATGATATGGCTCCATAGGCCAGATCTGGCCAGTAAGTGTGGGGCTGCCCCCCCTGAGCTACACCATTACAGCCAATAGACTCCCAAGCAACAGCTCACCCTCCCCTTTTAAAGTGGTTAACAAGTATATTTGCCCATATCCTGATACTGTATATCCCCTTTAGGAAGCCCCTTCTAGTTTATCCATGACTCTGCTCCACTGTCGACAAATCCTTATATGTACCTCTCACTATGGCATTTGAATATGTAGAATATTAAAGTAACCGTATAGGGTTGTTTTTTTTAAATAAAACATTGTAATATAGGTTTGGTCTCCCTCCTAGGGATTGCATAAAACACTCCAAAATAAATACATGTTAGAGATTGATATAGCTATACCTCTGTCTCCATCCAAACTGATGCTGAACTAATGTAATAACTCAGGGAACCATGTGAAGAACTCCAGGTGGTCTTTAACTCTATTTTAATTGGTTTATTGTGCTTTTCAAAGGATATTTTCACTTTAAGTTTGAGTCAGAGTTATAAAAGGGACAGCGTTGGATACAACTCAAGGCTCTCGACAGTAATTCTTGATCTATGTGTTAGCTGAGTACAAATCATAAATGTTTCTTCTTAGTCCAAAACAGGTCACAGTTGTGTTGTTGTATCTATGAAACATGTTTTCTCTTAATATTGCGAACATCTGTTACAGGCAGACAGGAATTGGCATCATGTTTCATAGCTTCAAGGATGCTCACTTGTAGTGAGACCTGATGGAAAATTGCTTCCCCTTTCATTGAACCATCTCAGAAAAGACACAAATTAGAAAAAGCACGTGCACTCCAGCTCCTTTCATGCCTGCTGAAATGGGGCCAGTCACTCAACATTGTGTGTTGCTTTTCTCAAAGATGTTGCATCAAAATAGCAGCCATAGAAACAATCAAAAGCCAGCAGTGCTTCATTTCCAGCCTGAAAGGGAAACGCATGTTTTCATCCGAGCAGCTAATGGAAAAGCACCTCTTCCGAGACCCCCTGCTGCACGATCGGTTGGCGTTGAAAGAAAGGAACGTCAGAAGCAGCCATGAGAAGAAACAAAGGCTCCCGCAGCCCAAGTCAGCGCCTCTCTGATGTTGGGGAGTATCTGCTGTGCCACGCAAGGTCTCAGAAATTGTCACCCACCATCTGTCTGCAATGGCCCAGATGCAGAAGGCAAAAGGCCCTGTGCAACATGTGCTCCACTTCTGGAGAGCGGAAGTCACGGTGGTTCAGAGACAAAAACCACAAGATGTGAAAAAAACCCATCAGCTCCAGCTTCCCTTCTTGGTGGGTTTCAAGCAGTGCAGACCCTCAGAGCTGCACAAAGCAACGTTAGCAAAGAAACTGCAAACATGAAAACACTCAACTGAAGGCTGAACTAACGTACTTGTCAGCCCTGTGTTATCTTGCATCTAAAGTATTCTTGCCAGGTCAGGAATATATTGCACAGCAGATGTGCAATGGCATGTTATAAGCCAGTGCATCAGTAGGGTACACATTGCATGGATATCCTCGCTATAGCACCCGACTGAGGCTTGGGATTACACAACAGATTTTCCATTGGGAATCTACAATTTAGGGTTTAAACCAGGGGTTTTCAACCTGGGAACTGTGATTATTCTGTTCTTCTGCATGGCTGAATCAAAAAGGGGGTCATAAAAAGTAGAAAACCACTGATCCAAGGCTCCAGTGCTCAAGTGTTTTTAGCATTTTGAATGGCACAAAGAAAAGGTGGAAAGATGATCACGTAGCTGACATATCATCCTTTAAAGAAGAAATCCAGATTCCAAGAGTACATTTTACTTTGGGAGCTGAAAAACTTTTTTCTCTTTGTGGTCCCGCTGACATCACTTCCTTTCCACCAGGTCCTGTGAAGTCAACCCAGTGAGATAATCTCTTTCTGTCGTGCCTGCCTTGAGGACAGCCGATGCGAGGAGAAAATGGCCCAATCCCTTTTTTTGCTGTTTCTCCTCAGTCTGTGTGAGTATGGAACCGCTACCGAGCCCTTCTTCTAGAAGAGGAGTCAGGAGGAGCGGGAGGGCAGGGGGCTCCCTCCAGGTCCCCTGCAGAGCGGATGCCAAGCACAAGGGCAAGTGTCTGAGCACAGGGGGAAAGCAATCAGAGGCTCATTTGCCATTTAGTTGTTTTACAGAGATCCTGAGAGCGAGCAGGGAAAAGGGCCCGAGTCTAATCTTGGGCAGGCAGGGCTGGCAGCAGAGACACTCCGTATGTGCACCGTCGGGGCTGAGAGCAGCACCTGACCCGGGTGGAGGGGTTGCGGGCTCTAAACACAAGCAGCACAAAGACAGACAAAAACCTAGAACTCGTGGTTCCAAAATGATACCTCTTATTAGACCAACTGGAAAATAGCAAGAAAACTGTCCTTTTCTGCAAGCTTTCGGGATCAAAGTCCCTTCATCAGACTCTGGGAAAAGTGTAGATGGTACAAGATGGTAAAAAGTCCCCGTAGGTAGGAAATAAACTTCATTTTTGCACAGAGGGAGCTGAAGGTGGAAGGCTGTCCCTCTGGGTCCATGAGAGTGTCTTTGTGAGCTGTGTTATCATTTTGGAACCAAGCGTTCTAGTTTTTTGTACGTCTTTTTGTCTCAGACCAACACGGCTACCAAGTATACCCCTGAAGCAGCACAAATGCACTGTAAAGACCTGGTAAGGGTCACTTCCATGCAGATGGCTCCTCTGAATGGGATGATCTTTGGGGGGACGGACGGCTGGTTTTAAGAAGCAGAGGGATTGCTGAGCACACTAGGACCACACTGATCCACAAGCATGCTGCCCTACTTAGAGGGGAACAAGACTTTGCCCAGGGGATGGGGCTCTGGGTTGGGATGGAGCGAGGATGCTGTCTCTTCCTTGGCGGGAGCTGTGCTGGTAAGTGCGCTGGGTGATCTTCTCTCCCTCAGGCCACTGCAAGTGCCAGGGACAGATTCAGGTCAAACTCCTCAGCAACAGACCCATGAAGCCAGGAGTCTCTGTGGAGCTGGAGTGTGTGATCACGGACAGCAGCTTGTCAGACAGCGGCGTGTCCTGGATGCACAAAGGCAAGGACTCTGTCCTCCGCTTCATCATGTTCATCTCTTCCCTCTCCCGGGTGACACACACAAGCGATAAAGACAAAGCACGCTATGTAGGAAGTAAAAAGTCCAGCACCTACAGACTGACCGTGAAGTCCTTTCAGGAGCAGGACCAGGGCGAATATTACTGCATTGTCAACTGGAACCAAATCCTGCATTTCAGCTCTGGGCACCAGGTCTTCCTGCCAGGTCAGCACCAGCCCCTGCCCTCAGTGCCCCTGCCAGCTGCATCCTTAGCATCCCAGTCACCACTGAAGTACCCTCCATCCCTTTTGTCTGGGAATAAGACAGAAAGAGAGACATGGGAGTCTGCTGCTCTTTGGAGCCTGTTCTGGGAATGTGGCCCTCAGGAGTTTCCTCCTCAGAGGAGCTCTTTGAGGAGGAGTTTCTGTCCAGATAGGCTGTACATGGGTATCTGGGAGCTGAGCCTTAGACCCCTTTTTGAGGAGCAAGTCTGGGGTGGAAAAAGGGTTGAAGATGGATTTCATCAGCTTCCTATTGTTCCTCCTATTGTTCCTTACAGTGCCTCCTACACAGCCGCCCACCACAAAGGCAGCCACCACCACACGCAACACAACCACAGCGATGACAACCTGCCCAGACACCCTAAGTCCAGGTAAAAGCATCTTCATGCAGCTTTGGGGAGAAGGGCGCAAGCTGGGATCCAGGTCTGGGGAGGTAGCTGGGCTGGGAGCAGCACCCTCCTGAAGCCCCTCTCCCAGCTACAGACTGGGAAGGGATCCCCATTCCTGGGATGTGGGTACCGGGGAGGTTGCTAGTATTTGACATGACATTGCTCCGCATTTTTCTGGGTTGGCTCCAGATGGGCCAGCGGTGGCTTTCTCAGGCTGAACAGAGTATTGCAAAGCAATTGCCACAGCTCAGGGCCTAGGGTGCACAGGTATTCAAGAGATTGGGAAAGCTCTCATGCTTTGGTCATGCAGATCAGGGAGTGAGGGCCCATTCCCAAGTTCAGCGGGCTTTGGGCAGCGTGCTTTTCCAGCCTAGGGAACCAGACAGCTGGTTTACTGAACAAGTCACAGCAATATAATCCCTCCCAGGCACCTGCCCATTCCTCCCGGCTGTGAGCCCAGCCGGTAGCAACTTCACAGAGCATCGGAAATCCTGGATGATCCCTCCCAGGCATGAAGTGTATCTCATAGCTCTTTCTTATGCTGAATTGCAGCCATCTCCCCCCCCACTACAGCTTCCTGCCAACCTCACCTCCAAAATCTGCCCCAAACCAGCCAGTGACCCAGTCGGGGAATCACCAGAGCCCCTGCATGATCTGGCTGGTTCTGAAGTGCATGGGAGAAAGGCAGGGGCGTGGGACCAGGGCAGCGCAAAGAAAACTGCATGCCCCTACCTTGCTGGAGGCTGCTGCAGCTGTGCTGGGGATGATGAGCCTTGTTGCCAGCCTCTGGTTTATTTTTCTTTTCTGCTCTCTTTCCATTCTGCAGCAGCCACCCAAGAGACATGGCTGAACTGTGACTTGTACATCTGGATCCCCTTAGCAGGCACCTGCCTCCTCCTCCTCATCGCCTTGCTGGCCACCATCATAACCTGGCAAAGTAAGAGAACCATCCCCTGTTTAAGACAGTCCCCCCTTCACCCAAAGGCAGACTGAAGTTTCCAGCAGAACAAGGACACATGGGGTAGGGGGCAAGGGGGTTGGCATTTGCAGCCACTTGCTTTGTAAAGAAACGCAGGCATTTGGCACATGCACTGTGCAAGTGGGGTGCCGTGCATCTGAAGAACGTAACAAAGCTAAACTTAATATTAGTGTTGTCTCCATGTATAAAGCCCTCCTGTAAAGTCCTCAGTTGCTAGAGAGCTCTATTGTCTAAAGAGGAATTAGACAATAGAGAAATATTAGAACCTTTTTTAGACTCAAGGCACCCGTGGAAATTGCCAGCTTTTTGTTTGCACTCCTTTTTTGCTGACAGAACAATACTAGAGCAATTCTTGTGGTGCAAAGAACTCAGAAAGGAAGGAAGACTGGTCTTGTCATTGTGACTTCTCATTTGAAATGGCTGGGTTTCTCTCGTGAATCATATGTAGGTGTTTGCCACAGCACCCCAGCTGAATCCCGGCTCTCACGAACGAGTAGAGGGAATTTATTACTCTACGACAAACTACACAGAGGCCATTACCTTGATATTGATGCAACTATGCCCAGATGAGCCATTTAACTGTAACAGGGCAGAGACTGAGAGAGATAAATCAGTGCAAATGCTCTGTCTAAACAAAGGTACAAAGGTAATCAATTTACAATTTATATAGCTGCATGGCGACAGAGTACTAATGGCAAAAATGTTCTGCCCAGACTGAGAGGCCCTGGCCAGTGCAGTCAAGGCATATCAGGGCCTACAACCGATAGCACACAAGGGAAGGAGGCGACTGCCATCGTGTCCAGCTCTCTCCGATTCCACCACCACAATACCCAGGCCCCCATTTACAGCTGGGTCAACAGGGGGCTTCAATCACTTAACCTTCATTGGTAAGGGCCAAGCTGTACTGAGAAGCGACACTGATTTCTTTAACTAGGTTCAGTCCCTTTGTCAACTAATTTGCTAGTGACCTAAGCTAACTTGTCACAAATTGATTTAACTACTGACTGGGTGGCACCATTTCAAATCTATTTAAAACCTGATTGAATTAAACCAGTGAAATTCCCACATCAGATCAGCCCTGAGAAATAGGAACTGCCAAAGCCCGAGAGTACCAAAGGCATAAACAATCCAGTAATAAGCCACCACTGTCTTGCATACGCAGTGCGATGTATAATACAAAATACTACTGAAATGTCTATCGCTGAAAAAAACCCTTCTGTTTCATCAAAGCAAGTGAGGACATATTAAGTCAGCACACAGCATCCAAGGTCTTTGACGCTTTCAATCCTATGCCCCGGGGTAGGACACCAGAACAGGCATTTTAGAAATCCAGCTAGCTGGAATATCGGCCATCAGTTAATTTCTTTTTGCTCTTTATGCCGATTTGAAGTTTCGGTGAACATTCACTTGAAGCAATTATTTCTCCAATATACAAGTGGCATCGAGATCCCCCAGGAGAGAACCACCAGGGACACAAAAACTAGTTAGCCTCCAGCCCTGACCTATTTCTTTTGTTCTAAAATAACCGGCTCCATAACTGACAGTGTCGAATACATCCCTGGAGTAACCTTCAGAGAAGTTGGAGGAGTTGCACCAAGAATGACTCTGTATTAGTGTGCCAGGGCCCCAGCTGAGGTAAGGCAAAGGCAGCATAGCCCCACTGAACTCAGTACAGCCATGCTGATTTACACCAGCTGAGAATTGGCCTCAATCTGTCTCTCAACCTCCTGGTATTTCTATAGCAGAGACTGATCCGGTGAAGCAGATGCAGCACGGAGGGCAACCGTGATGGTGCAACGCCTGATCTCAGCTCCATGAGTGTAACCTATTCAGGTCACTTGCCCACTGAATATTTACTCCTATTCCTGAATGCATGAATTTCTACCAGCTTCCCAAATTCATAAAGAGTGAAAAAAAATCCACTGATGACATTTCTAATGTAGCAAGTTACACTTCTCTCTACAGAGTAAAACTCAGTCCTGCAGCCAGTCACCCAAGTAGACCCGATTCACAATAGCCATGACACTGTTGTCCATGGGATTATGTGCTCAGACAAGGACAGTTTGTCTCACTTAAAGGTGGCCTAAAAGTAAAGTAAGAGTAACAGTGGTTGAACCAACCCTGAAGCAGATGCAGACACACATCTAGTACAAAAATGATGACTTGCCAAGGTAAAGCAAGGTCTTCATTAAACCGTGACTCACCCATTCTTCAAACTGAGTCTTTTTTATTCTTTTTAATTTTAGAAACCAGAAGACGGAGATGCAAATGTAGAAGGTTGGTAAGCTGCTGTTTTCAAGCACTTTCTCTTTAGCTCCGCGGCTTCTAGCCCAGTGTGTTGTAACGTTAGATTGATGTCAAAGAAATCCCTGAGCCACCATCTGTAAAGAGAGGTTTTGCCTGCATAACTCGTTCAGGAAAATCAGAGCTCAAGTTCCCACTTCAGCCCTTCCCCTTTTTTATTATTATTTGTTATTTCAATTGGAGGAGAACCCAGCACACTGGGGTATGTATAGATATGGGGTGTGTATAGATATGAGTAGGTGCTCCCTGCCAACAACACTCTCTAGCCTACAAAGTCTGTGCTTATGAATTACAATAGAGTCTTTCATTACTGTATCACACAAGGCACATACCAACTGGTATATCTACATTTCTAGAATTAGAAAAAAAAGTCTGGTTGCTTTGTTTTTCCAGTCATCGTACTGTTACGTTGATCCACGTTGCTTAAGGGCTCAGTCCCGCAAGGGATTAAGTGCTCTAGCTCTCATTCAGCAACATTTTTAAGCATATGCAACTCCTGCTGCATGCTTAGAGCAGACCATACACTCAAGCAGACCTTCCCTGGATCGGGGTTGGAGTATTCACTACTTGGCAGGATTAGGCCTGAACCATGCCATAGAAGACTCCTGGGGTGAGATACAGGCAGTTGCTGTAGAAGCTTGATTTCCTGAGTTTTTACAGTCTCAAACACTGGGTTTCATTTTGCATTTTTGCGTACCTGAATTCCAGTTGAATTCAAGGGCAGTAGTAGCCAGACTGTAATATTACACTAACATTATTTGGCATATCATTTCCCTCCTTTCACCAAAGGAAGCTTTTTAAAAAAAAAAAAAGGTTGCACGGCTACGTTCACATTCTTCATTTATGGCCCTCGTGTCAGATTTCATCACAAGCTATTTTTTTAGTTTAATAAATACAGATTAAAAAATTAAACAGTAGAAAAAAATCCTCTTTTTCATGTTCATATAATGCAGGATGGTTACTGACTGCTAAAAACTTTACCAAAAAAAAAAAAATTCCTCGGCTGAGATCACGTATTAGAAATTCAAGCAATGGTTTGCAAAGTGGTTTTGAAATGAAAATGCCTTCTGATCTTTTAAGTAGTTTAATTAGTTAAACAGTTTTACTACCATGGCATTATGACCACATCACAATTGATCTGTGCAGGAACCTATGAGACTGTATGCTTGGATTATTTCTCTGCGTCTCCAGTATGAGAAATCAATTGCCCTGATAAGTACTACAAAATGTCTTATAAATGTATAGCACTCAGCATAATAGATTTCTAGTCCATTTCTGGGGCTCCTGGGTAGTAGTAGTAGTTATTATTATTGATATAATAATAATTGTTTTAAAAATTATTGTTACAAAATATTGTTATAGTATTAATTGTTATTGTTGTTATAATAATATTAAAAACAACAATAATAGTAATAATAATAATAATTATTATTAAATAAATTACTATTAAATATAATAATAATCAACTATATTATGAGCTATTATTAAATAAAATAATAATTGTTAACTGCATTATTATGAAATATTTTGTTGTTGAATATAATTATTATTAAATATATAATTATTATTAAATATAGTAATAATAATTACTGTTGTTGTTTTTATTATTATTATAATAATAACAATTATCAAAATAACAATATTTTATAACAATAATTTTAAAACAATTATTATTATTATTATTATAATAACTACTACTATTGCCCAGGAGCCCCAGAAATGGACTAGAAATCTATTATGCTAAGTGCTATACATTTATAAGACATTTTATAAATTATTATTATTACTATTGTTGTTTTTATTGTTGTTATAACAATAATAACAATTATTACTATAATAATATTTTATAACAATTATTATTATTACTATTGTTACTATTATCGTTTTTATTGTTATTAGTGTTATTATAACAAAACAATTGTTACTACAATATAACAATTATATAACAATATAACAACAACTATTACTATAACAATATTTTATAACAATAATTTTATAACAATTATTATAACAATCATAATAATAACACAAGTATAGATAAATGTTTGATGATATTCTAGAGCAGAAGTGTGAAACAATAGCAAGCTATGACAGACAAAAGACTTGATCTTGGATTGAGGTCTGAAACTAAATGAGAAATTCACTCCTACAAAATCTAAATGACTAGGCAGACAAACAAAAAATGGCAAATGGGAAGAAATGGATAGAAACAAAACTAGAAAAGAAATAGAAACACTCACAAATTAAAAGGTGGCAGCAACTTAAGCGATTTTCCAAAGAAGGACTGAAAAGCACAACCAGTCTAACGAGTGCTGCACTGGAAAGGACTATTTGCATGGGATCTTTTAAAGCAAAGAGAGATGGTAGGAAAAATGTAAATACAGAATTCAGGATACAAGGCAAAGCCTCAGCCACTGTTAGTGACATTATAATGGAATATAGCAAGTTGGTGTGAAGCAACACAGCAATACGAACAAGTAGAGAAGAAGTATTATCATGATAGATCAGGCAAAGTTGGAAAGAATAATGTATACAAACAATGGGTTTTTTAATCATTACTGTTCATGAAGTAACAGCGCGGTGGTTATACAAAAGGAGGGGAGGAAGGATTTTTTTTTTCATTTGATGAGAATATTTGTTAAAAAATGCAGGAAGAGACTGACAAATACAAATGTGGAATAACAGTGACTGAAGAAATTATGGGGTATGAAAAATATAAAAAGACCAGCAGTTATCTTTCAGGGAACTGGGATTTCTTGTGTAGGTATTACAATAGATTGCTTATACAGGAAACTGGCTCTCTATTTTAAAGACCACAGGTCCTTCAGAAAGCAACATCAGTGATACCTCCAACACAATGACGATGACAACTTTTTATACTCCTGGTCCAAGTTAGACCCACGTTAGCAATTGTGTTCACCCAAGACTCGGGTTGATTGGGAGGCAAATTAAATATGTTTCTCATTATCATCATCCATGTCATCATTATTATTTATGGTGATTACGATGATGGTACCTAGGTTATTTAATTCAATCTTTGCCCACCCAAAACTCCCACTGAAGGCCATTTATTAGTATACTGTGTGCAATTCTGCAGTGAGCCCTGACAAAAGTGTTAAAGTCCAATTGCCTAATATAAATGAGCAGACTTTTCATGCATGCACAGTCCATGAAAAACAATTATCCTTTAATTACTTCATTTTACTTTTAAGTTTGAAATCCTTTAATTACTTAATATTATTTTTAAATTCTTAACACCAAAACTTTGCAATCTTTTTCTTAGTCTCTCATTCCTCAAATCCATTTGTCCATGGGCTGCTTGTCCACAGTGAATGAGAATTGACTAGACAGAAAGCCTTTATTCACAGGAGTAAGTTCTTGCTGTTGTTAGCCATGCCACTGATTTTGATAATAACCCTTTATAACACAGTGGTTCAGCTAGCATGGAGCACTTCAGGAGCTGGCCTCAGGACCAGCACTGCCAAGTTTAGAATTTGCTTTTTCGCAAGTGAATTTTCAGTGAACAAAGGCACTGAGGATGTGGCCACTTGGGGGACCCATTCATCCCTGGGGTGTGCCAATTTACACCACTTGAGAATCTGGCCCAGAATACCATATTTTCTTGCATACAACACACCCCCAAATAAGATACACTCTGTTCTCGAAAGGCAGAATGAACAAAAAGAAGGATCTTTCCTTGAAATTACTGTTCACTAGCAGTAAGTAACTGAGTAGCAGCTGCTAGAGAGCCCAGACTGCTTAGTGCACTGCTCCCCATGGAGCACACGCAGCCTTACTTTTCACTCCCCCACCCTCAGGCTTACACCGCAGAAAATGCTATTACCGTATTTCCTCACTTATATTGTGCACTCCAATTTCCAGCAACTGATTTTTCGAGAAACACGTGCATTGGATCCAAAATAATAGAGTATTTCCTTTTGCCTACAACTTTTGACTAAGCCTGCAGGAAACTGGTTGTGTTACATTACACTGAAACACCAGGCCACATGTTGGCGCATGTACTCAGATCTCCTGCAAGGTGTCAAGTGCCCTCACCTCCCACGGAAGTTGGTGAGAATTGTGGGTGGTGGTGAGTAGGGGCCCTTTATTCACACATAAGCAGTCCCATAGCCCATGAGGCTCAGCACTAATCAGCATTTAGCCCTTAGTAGAAGGAAGCACAGCACAGGGAATTAGGAAGAGACTATTTTCCATGTTTCCATTGTAGCTTCCTGTACAAAGGAAACAATTCAGAGGTTTTCACACACAATAGGAAATTAAGAGTCCTCCCATGTGTTGTTGTCTCCCCCCTGCTTCCCTGCTCTCCCCCACCCCGCCCAAGCAACCACATCTTCCTTGCAACAGCTAGAGAACTTAGCTCTATAAAAAAGTAATAACGAGACAGCATAACACATAAACCCATCTGACTGCAGTAAGCCCTCTGCTTTGATAACCCATGCCTTTATTCTTGTATGTGTTTCCTGTTCTCTGTGTAGGACTTGAGGTTGAATTTCCCCAGTTTACCTATAGCTCCCATGGCCCTAATCTCTCCAGATCATGCTTGATTTTAATTTTCTTCTCTTGAGTGCTTGTTAGTCCCCTAATTCTGGTGCTGCCACCAAAACTGATCATGGTTATCCTCCACCTAAAAAACCCATGCGCTAATTCTTGCCACTTTATCCCAAGTCTCAAACTATTTAGGGGTAGATCCTATTCCACTTATTAGGTATATGGCACTTAGGCATGTAAGTGCAATTCTATTCCACACTGTTTTGAGTTCCTAAAAATCCATTAATGCATTTGCTTTTGTAACACTGATCACTTTAGTCTTAAGACTAAATTAAAAAAAATGCACCAAGGAAGAGGTGGACCTACCCAACTTTTATATTAAAAATTTCTCAGGGACTTAAGCGGTGCAAAATAGGATTAATTTAAATGCTCAGAAGCTTAAGTACTAGAACAGGAACTGGCCCTTAATTTTTTTCCTTAGGGCACCAGCTCAGGGAGTCCTGTGATTATGTGGGCACCTTATCTGTCATATAAATAAAAACAAGTTTCTATTATTTCTGATAAGGGAAAAAAAATAGAAAGGAATTGCACAGAAATAAAAAGGCAAAAGATAACCACCTCAAATTTTCTGTGATTTTTTGAATGCTTGGGTTTGGCAGCACCGTGTCACGTGGAAAGGCAAAGCAGCTACATGGAGTTGAGATCGGGGGTTGGTTTGTTATCTATCCTAAGAGAGTCCTGGAGGAGATTGCAACAAGCAGAAAGTGGCACTAGTGACAAACTGACACCTGATTCATCACTTTGATGAGTACCTGAGGATGCTTCGCAGCCTTCAGCTGGAGAACCACTGTATAGAGTGAGGTCGGATAAGCTGAAAGATCAGGGGTGGGCAAAATGTGGCCCAGGGGCCAGATGTAGCCCACCAGGCCGTTCTATCCAGCCCGCGGGGCCCCTAAAAAATTTAGAAAATTAATATTTATCTGCCCTGGGCTGCCTGTCATGCAGCTCTCGATGGCTTGCCAAAACTCAGTAAGCGGCCCTCCACCCAAAATAATTGCCTGCCCCTGTGATAGATGTTACCTTTTAGCCAGACTCAGCCTCTTCTTCCTTTCACATCGAAGTAAACACGTCTCTTCCTTCTCTCTGTAGACCTGCAAACAATGGAAGAGTCACGGCAAACATATAAGAGTGAAGCGTCTGTGCCCTTAACATCTGAATCTCCAAACAGGAAGCTATCGCTGTACAGTCCATCCACCACCCATGCCTTTACATTTCCAGTTACAAGCCATGCTTTATTTTAAATTGTTCCCATACCTTCTGTTTTGTTGAATTCTACGATGCAAACAGGTCCACAAGAGCACAGAAGCTTTAGCAGATACTAGTCGCTCACTACGGGAATTGTACTGCCTGGATTTGAAAGTGTTGGCTCCTTCCAACATTGTTGAGCCCTACAAATTGGTTTCCAGGTCATTAAAAAAAAGACAACAAAATATGCCAAACTATCTAGGCCTGTAACACAGGCAATACACTCTGATCACTAGCTCCCATAGTCTAAATCCTCAGTCAGTACTTGCTCAGGTGGATACCCCGTGATTTCAACAGCTGAGGAAAGACTTCAACATTTAATCTGCTTGGTGGTTTGCCTTATTTTAATGTTTGTCAGATCAGGCCCACTGTGAATAAGTGTATGATCTTCCAACCTTCCCCTTTTAACTTCAGTGCCTAGGCACTACCCGAAGACATTTTTTATTTGGGGAAGGTGACTTCATTGGTCAATGGGATAAAAATATTTTATCATATGAGACATCAGAAATGCTCCCCAGAGGTCAGTAACAGCAGTCCATTACTGAAGCTGAAAGAGGACAGAGCCCAACCATGAAAGGCCAAGTTTTAACCAAGGGTCCTTGTGTCTTTTATAGTCCTTAGACTACAGACCACGGTTGCCGTTGTTTCCCCCTCTTGTGAGCTTATTCCTTCTTGCTGTTGACTTCACTGGGAGTTTTGCCTGAGTGAGGAACGCAGGATTCATCCTTCTTTCTGGCTCCAAGAGATAAATAGCAGAAGGGTAAATATGTGCTACCACTTGTTTTACTTAAGCAGTGTTTTTAAATGTGCCAATTTATTTCAGAGAGAGACGACGAGATTAAGCATCCTGTAAACTGCTCACTATGCATTCAGTGTAAATATTGTCTGCATATCACTGCAATAAACTCTTTCTACGGGGGTTTTTTCCCCCCAATCATCAGTATAAATACCATCCAAAAATTAATTAAACTATATTTCTACATAATGTCATTATAGTCTGTTTCTTTTTCTGCTGCATAGTTTTTCTCAGGCTAGACATCTAATCAAAGATATACATGATCTGCTTCTTTTTCCCTGCTGAATCCGAAAGAAAATACAGGGGTTAAGATCCAGGCCTGGGTTTCAGGAGATCTGGGTTCAGCTCCTACTTCTGGCACATGAAGGTCATGGCATATGACCTTAATTACTCGATGCATTCAATTCTCAGCTGTCGAACAGGGACAGTAATACTTCCCTCATATGAATCCTGCAAAGATAAATCTCTTAGTTGATTAGAGTCACAAGATACTGTGTTGATGGGCACTTTATAAAAACCTAGTTAAAAAGATAGCGACTGACCACACTATCTGCTGCAATGTTCATACACACAAATCAGCCATGAGCGCTGACGTTGCCACAACAACACACTCAAAATCCATTTCCAACTTTCCAAAAATATCACCTCTTGAATATTGATTCTGACAAGAGCCGTGGCCCCCATCCAACAGAGCACTTACGGTGGTGCCTGACCTAAGGCTTGAGTGTAGGCCTCTTCACCCGACAAAGCAATGCCTTTGTGAAAGATGCAGAGATGTTATAAGGGGCATGAAATATAATCATATATAAATAAATATAAAGTGACTGCAGGGCTAGGAGAGGATTATTAGAATTTCCTGTATGGATGTATCGACCTAACGTAATGGGGCTTGTGGGAAAAGCAACACAAAAGCTATAGTGGAGCAACTCGCCCAACAAACTTGGAGGTAGAACGGGGAGAGCAGACGGGGGCATATTTCTAGGTCTTACGCCAATGTGACACAGGTGTCATGGAAACAGATCAAGGGGCTGTAGAGACTTAAAAAGCCTTTTGAGAGATGAAGCTTGGAGATCCATTGTCAGGGGAACGGGTGGACTCAGAGAGTGTGTGTGACACCATCGGTGCTCCCAGAGAGAGTGGACCTGCAGGCAGTGAAGAGAGGTCAGATCAAATACAATTGACCAGAGGAGGGAAGCCCCAGGCCCATCCCAAGGGCAGGCGACTCGTGTTATTCCACCCTTTGACAACTATTAGCTAAAGGCCCTCAGAGAGATCACAAAGGATCCGAGCTGCCATTGGTCCGGTAACTAGAATACCCAACGTGCGCGATGCGCAATCAATGTGTGGAACTCCTTGCCACAAGACATCATTGAAGTGAAGAGCTTAGCACTGCTCGAAAGGGATTAGACATGTATATGTCACTGTTCATTTTACAGTATCACTTAGAAGTCCCACACAAGACTGATGCCACATGGCATGACATGCCCTACATCTATTTAACAAGAGACAGCCCTGTCCCAGTAGTTATAGCCTCAAATATAGCATAGGGCAGGAGGGAAAGAAACACAGAATGGCTTTCCCACATTGACCTGAGAGTAAAGGCAAAACTAACTGGGGGCATGCGGATCACCTAAGTCTACACCTATTACCATTTGACCTTGCTGAGAATATCCAGAGCTACCTCAAATTATTTTAACTGTTGAATTAAAAGGGAGCACTGACCATGCTACCACAGGGTAGAAGCCAACTTCAAACCTAAAGAAACCTGGCACAAATGCCCCCCTGGGGAGGCTAATCTAAAATCATCCAATTAAAGAGCTCCTTACACCTCCCACTGAAGCATCTTCTACTGGTTATCATCAGAGACAGGACATTAGAGAGGACAAGCGTCTTTGGCCTGCACTTGTATTCTGCACTGATCGTTCTTCCTAAAAACAAAATGGATTGAGTCAAAATGGTTCTTTGCACCTAATAAGTACGCAGGGCCCGCAGAACAGATGTTACAGATTTGCTGCATTGTTCTCAGCCTAAAAAAGATGAGCTGCCAGGAACAGCGCAAGTAGAAAAGCTCGTCATTCAGAAACTTTTCTTCTCCGACCTCTGCCTCATCAAAAACAAAAGCCCAGGTGTGTTGTTCTGCTCAACTGTAACATTTGTTACTCTAAAAGCAGCGGTCCATGCACTTAGTACAGTAACTACAAAGATCACACGATCCTTCCAGCAGTGACATACCGTAAGTATACCATCAAGCGGTCTTCATGACATTTGTTAACCACAAAGGTAAAGGCTACATGGTCTGTAATGATGTCACACAGACTTAAGACATCTGCAACCTTTATCCGTTTATATCTGCAAGGGCTCTCAGGCTGGTCTTTGAAATTAAAGCAGAATCAGCAAAGTCTAGTGGCAGGGCAGCTTGGATCCTAACCCCAGCCCTGCCCTGGATTTGCTGCAAAATCAGCATGTACTGCAATTCCCCTAGCTACAAAAACTCACCCTTTTAAAGATCCTTGAGCAGTTTGGATGGCATATGCTATTAATGCAAAGCATTATAACTTCAGGGTATTCTTGTGGGTTTTAAGGGGCATGCTAGATGCCACCTATTGCCTGGTGGTTTGAAGAGCAAGCAGGCAGACCTCGTCATTCCAGAGAAGGCGCTTTGTCATCTGGCAAACCCATTAGAAACCAAACTGAAGTCTGGCCAGATCTATCGGTTAAAGCCCAGCATCCTCCTTTGTGCCATACCTCATGGTAGGTTTCTATGACACTAAGCATGGACACCCAAGCTAAATGCAACTAAGCTAGCTCAGGCAGCAGAACTAGCATAGCCATGAGCACCATGGTCCACCCAGGCTAATCAGTGGTACTAAGGGTCTGAGGGTATATTAGCTGTGTATGTGTAGTGGTCTGCCTGGACTTCACTGCTTGTGATGCCTGATCTAGCTCATTCATCTCAGAGTTCACTGTGTGAGCTGGGCTTGTGAAACTTTTGCAGTCCTACACAGGACTTCTTGTCAGACCAAGCTTTCCCAGCTCACGTCAGCAAACCTCAGAACCACAGCAGCTTTCACAGCCATGCCACTTGTGCCTGGAGATCTTCCCATAACAAAAGACCTCTCCAGCACCGGAAGCAATAAAACCTCCTATCACCAAAAGGGTTTGACGCCTTAATCCTTCTGGAAAGAGCCTACACACTGAACCATTCTTTCATGAACAGTCTTTTTCTAAGTAGACATCCTTCATACCCATCAGGGAATCTGCATCTCTTAGTCTTCAATAGAATAATAGAATCATAGAAAACGAGAGCTGGCAGGGACCTCTGGAGGTCACATCTAGTCCAACCTCCTGCTCAAAGCAGGACCAGCCCCAACTAGATTGTCCCAGCCAGAGCCTTGTCTAGCTGGGTTTTGAAAACCTCCAAGGATGGAGCTTCCACCACCTCTCTGGGTAACCTGGTCCAGTGTTTTACTACTCTCCTGATGAGAAAATTCTTCCTAATATCTGACCTTAACTACCCTTGCTGCAACTTGAGACCACTGCTCCTTGTTGTCATCTGCCACCGCTGAGAACAGTCCAGCTCCATCCTCTTTTGAAGCCCTGTTCAGGTAGTTGAAGGCTGCTATTAAATCCCCTCTCAGTCTTCTCTTTTCTAGACTAAATAAACCCAGTTCCCTCATCCTCTCCTCATCAGTCATGTGCCTCAGCCCCTGAACCATTTTTGTTGCCCTCCAATGGACTCTCTCCAATTTCTTCACATCCTTTCTGTAGGGGGGGGGCCAAAACTGAACACATTACTCCAGATGGGCCTCACCAGTGCTGAATAGAGGGGAATAATCACTTCCCTTGCCCTGCTGGCAACACTCCTACCAATGCAGCCAGTATGCCATTAGCCTTCTTGGCAACAAGGGCACACTGCTGTCTCATATTCAGTTTATTGTCCATTGTAACCTCCAGGTCCTTTTCTGCAGAGCTGCTGCGTAACAGTCAGCCCCCAGCCTGTACTGGTGCATGGGATTGCTCCATCCTAAGTGCAGGACTTTTCACTAGTCCTTGTTGAACCGCATGAGATTTTCTTTTGGCCCAATCTTCCAATGTGTCTAGGTCACTGAATCCTAGCCTTACCCTTCACCATATGTACTACTCCCCCCAGCTTGGTGTCATCTGCAAACTTGCTGAGGGTGCACTCTGTGCCATCTTCCAGGTCGTTGATGAAGACATTAAACAAAACCGGCCCAGGAACGACCCCTTGGGCACTCCACTTGATACCAGCTGCCAACTAGACATCAAGTCATTGATTACTGCTCTCCGAGCCAGATGCTCCATCTGGTTTTCTATTCACCTTACAGTCCATTCATCCAACCCATACTTCCTTAGCTTGCCTGAGAGAATGCTGTGGGAAAGCAGATCAAAAGTCTTGCTAAAATCAAGGTACACCACATCCACTGGTCTCCCCACATCCACAGAGTC